CTGGTAACCTGGTATATAAATATAATATACAATAATTTTAATACATACTTTATGTCTGGAAGAATTATAGCATCAGTAAGGCAAATAGAAATCCCAGGAGAAAACCTGACTATAAGGCTGAAATAAATTCTAATATAAGCAATCTTCCTTTGAAGTAATAAAAATTTAGTCATAATGGTGCTAAGAATATAGCAATTTCCAGGAAATAATTAACAAAAAATTAACTGGAAATTGAACCATCCTACATAAACATTTTTTCCCTCCCGGTAATGAAGGGACCAACAACTTTCTTAAGAAAGTATTGTTTCTACTCCTGCAAGAAAATAAATAAATACACATTCTACAAGATAGTTAACACCATAATAATGTGATTAATCCTCCTAGCTCTTGTCCATTATGAGCATTCACTGGTAGATAGATAGCTTCTGTTACGGCACCCCGTTGTCTGTCTTGATCCTCAAGTAAAACAATAATCAGTCATAAGTATAAAGCTGGGCAAATCACTGCCCAGAGAAATAAACAGCATTAGTCTAAGAGAATCAATAGAAGAAATGAGGCCAGACCTTCATTCTTCAATCTCTCAGTTCAGTGGGCATTATACAAAATGTCATCTCCTCCCCCAGAACCAGACAAAACAATGAACTATAAATTAATCATAATATATCTGACATTTATCGGCTGATTTATGTTTACCTGGTGCTGTGGCAAATACTCTGTAATCCATGGACTCATTTAATTCTCACAAGAAGCTATGTCAAAGGAGTTACCATTCTCCTGGTATAGGGGAGACAAAGGGAATTTAACCTAGTACCTCTGGCATTGGGTGTAGTCTGTATTATATACTTCCCCATGGAAGAATTGTTTCTGCCACCATGTTAAGCTAAGCCAGAAAATATTACAGTGTTGTAGGGAGTATGTTCCTTGACTTCAGTGTAGAAATTCATATTTCCATTTGAGCACTGGGTGAGTGACCCCATAATCAAGGCAGTGACTTCAAGTTGCTAAGGTGAATTTCCACCTTGGCTTCTTTCTTCCCATTACCTTCTCTAGCACAGGGAGTCGATCCCCAACCCCATCCATCTGAAATAGAGTTTCCTACATCTTTCCATGTTGTTCTACACTGACTGCCATTATTTTTTACACAACTATAGTTTTTCTCCTGGTTTTTGAAAATATCCTCTAAATGGTCTCTGTATAGCCCCTTTGGCCCTCTTGAGCCATCTGCCAGGAGCAGTCAGACAGGCTGATATTTCTAAAAGGCATTCATGTATCTGTCTACAGTGAGGCATTCTTGCATTTGAGATTGGACCTATATTTTGCAGACCACTTTAAGACTTTGATTATCTCGCCCTATAATTTACTGTCTACGTCAGGAAATGTGAACAATGCAACAAACATACAGCACTCTCACACTGATAGCTCTCTGCATTCCGTTTGTTCGGCTAGGACACTCTCTGCCTCTGCTTGTTCGCTTGCTTTTCCAGCCCTACTTTAGAGGTAACTTGCAAGAAGACTCCTCTGATTGTACAAAACAGTGCATGGTGTTCACTTACAGCTGTTCGTCATCAAATATAGGACTTGTCACTCTAAACTGTAATGGTCTGTGTCCCTGACTACACTGAGAATCGCCTACAGATGCTTGAGGGAGCACAAGCCATGGAACTAGGAAACTGCTGTAGGGACAGCCAAGCTATAGATGTTGAGGACTCTTTGTGGGATGAGAGGAGATAGGAGGAACATGAAGAGCAAACAAAAGAGAGAAGGAGACGAAAGAGAAGGATAAAAAAGATAAAGGAAAGAAATGAGGGGAAAAAGAGGGAAGAGGGAGGAAGGAAGAGAAAGAAATAAAAGGATGTGAGGAAGATATTAGGACAGGGATGTGGAGGGTAGGAAATGAGAAATGAGGGTATGGAACAGAGTACAGCTAGGGAGCATTCACAGCAAACTCCCCATGGAAGGTTTGAATGTTTTTGCTTTGTTTCTCTGAGGAAGCTCTGGATATCTTTGGTTCCATTTAACTAGCCATTGGTTGCTCAGGGGTTGCAGACAGTCAGGGAATCCAGACGTTAAGAAAAAGGTGACAAAAGGACCATGGATTTCAAGCCCATCTTGTATTTGAGGAAAGAGAACGGAAGACAAATGATGTGATTTTCCTACAAGAAGGCAGCTAATAGGAGCGAGACGCTGAGTGACCACACGCTTGCAAACCTTCCTGCCCATTCTCTTCAGCTCCCAAATCTTCCTAGAAACAGCAGACTTAAAGTTTTAGTGAGGGCAGAGAGCGGCTCAGTCCAGTGTCAGAATCATGCCCACTGTTCTTCCTGGGTGCTGTTTCTTTTTTCCTGGTTCTTTTACTAAATACAAAGAATTTCACCTTTCAAGGAGGGTGGACCATAGTAAAACCAAAGAGCATCTTTCTTCCTGCCTTTCTTTGTGCCTCCTGTTTTGACTTACATCCTTTCACAAGCTCAGGACTTCTCCGCATTCTGTATTTTTGCCACACTGTCCTGTTACCCAAAGCCCCCGCTGCCATTTCTCCCCTTGGAAATTGTATCATTTGAAGGCTTGCGTTGAGAGCCCGTTCTTCCCTAAGACCCATTTCAATGAGCCTAATGGGGAGTGACAGCTTTATCCACTCTGCTCCAGCGGTCTTCTGCCCATTTACTCCTCAAATATGAACTGATCTGTGCCATTTTTTAGAGTGCACGCTTATCTCTGTCTTCCACCTGCACTCGATGTCCATCCCTGAAAGCAAGACGCATTCCCGCTTTATTGTTGCCTCTTTTAGTATCATAGGCACAACACTTCTTCACGCCATACAATTTAGGAACTTGCCAAGTTGAACTAAACCATAGAACCAATTTTCCAACCCACATGTTTATACTAACAAAGTCATGAGCCAGAATACTTCGTCTGCCTCATCGAACGTTTTCATTTATATATTTTTATGGCACTTACTTCCCCACCCCTCAACAATTGCTTAAAGAAAGTGAAACACTATGGTGGACTAGTGGTGTCAGGCAAGAGAGAGAACACCTACATGGGTCAATGGTGGCCAGAACCTTTACACTTCTGCAAAAAATAATCAATTTTGTTCCGGTCAATTAAAGAAAATATTAAGAGAGATTGATGGCCCTTTAAAAATATTGACAGATGGAGATCTTTAAAAAAAAAAAAGTGGAGACCACTGTGTACAAGGTAGTTTATCACAAGTAGACTCTTTGGAGAACACACTTCGTTGAGAGAAAAAACGTGAAGAAACTATCAACTCTTTCAAGGTTAGGATTTACTTAAAATGAATAATCTGGACTACTCACCTCATTCATGTGAACTGGTGATAGTCTTGTACCATGTGGATGACTCATTGATTGACAAAATAACATGAAAATAAGATGCTGCAGCAGCGTCAGGGTTCCTGCCTCTCTCTCAGCAAGCCCGGCTTCTTAAAACTCTATTTCTTAACGGAGACGGTTAACAACTCTCTCACTCAAAGCCAAAAGACTTTCAAACTGCTTTAGAAAATATTTAACCAATGGCTTTGGATGGGATTTTACATATTTTAAAAGCATTTTTTAAAACTCAATTTCAAGTGTGCTTAAGTGCAACATATTTCTCTATTGATCACCCATGACTGGCAGCCTGAATAATGACAGACTAATAGAAGCAGAGTGTTTGATACACACTCTCCCCTGAGCGCAGTCCAAAGGGCATGGTTTTTTTCTCCATCACTGTGCAAATGCATTGGATCCCAACTCTCCCTGCAAAACAGACAACCCAGAGGACTTCCATGTTACAACAGCTTTTAGAAACAAGCTCTCAGCTTTTACGGAGGCATTGACAACAGCATTGGTTTTGAAATGTCTCATAGAAATTAGAAGAAATTTAAACACACACACACACACACTGAAAAAGATTCCACAACAACATAGAAAAAAATTGAGGGTTTCATTAACTCCAATTTGAGAGTCTAGTAAACAGAATTAGATTGGAAACATATCAGTTCCCCCCACCTGATTTTTCTTATCTTTCAGAGACATGATACTACAGTATTGGTAAGTGCAGATCATTCCCCCAGTATACACAGAAAAGAGACGACAGATTAACCCTTTACTCTTCTGGGTTCCCCAGTTCATGAGGTGTATCTGACCTGCACTCTCCTCAGCACTACTAAGGAAAAGCAGGGAAGTTTGAAGATTTGAATTCTGTTCGGCTCTGCCCATATCCCTGTTATACCACGGGGGGGGGGGGGGGGGAATCTGAACTTTGATTTTTTTTTTTAGTGAGAAAAAAAATAATATTCCCAAGTGTAAGTTCACCCAGTCATCTCACTCCTAAGCAGTACTACCTGCAACGTAACCATGTTTAAGTGGAGTTCTTAAGTCCATGCCTGTTCCTGAACACTGAGATGTACAGGGAAGACCTTTTCCCAAAGGGTCTTCTCCTACTAAAGTAACTCTTCCCCATGCTACACCCACTAAGTAGGTTTTATACCCCTTGAGTTCACTTTCCCAAAGGTCTGAGATTATTAGCTCTCTTTCAAAAGGATTTTCACAGAGTTGGTTTGGTCAACACCTTAGGTAATTAGCTTTGGAATGTCTCTCACAGAACTCTGTATTCTGCCATTAAGATTGACACATGTATCTTAAAATAAAACAAAAAAAAATGTTGTGACTATCCCAGTGCTCAACTTGGTATATAAAAAAGGGAGGGGCGGAGGATTCTGTGGCAGACATTTTATATAGAGAGCCTTGTGAAAATGTACCCTTAGAAAAACAGATGGTTTGTTTAGCTACCTCATCTGTGAAATGGGGCAGCAGTACTTACTGCCTAACCACTTAGTGCCAGGGTTAAATAAGCTAAGAGTGTTAAGATTCATTAAGGATCAGTTTACTCTTGGTGCCTATCTTTGCTTGCATTCATCCTGGGAAACACATGAGTTTGTGTGTGACAGTCAGACTGACAGACATTTTAGATCGAAATCAAGGTGACTGGCTTCTTACCTCCAGAGAGTCATCAGCGTTCACCATCCAACAGTCAGTCCAGGTTGCCACAACCAAAAACGCAGTGGAGCAAAGGGCCAAGGAGCAGGCAACATACTGAAGAAGATCCCTCATGGCCGCCGGCAGACAGGGAAGGGACGCATGGGTAGATGCCAGTCCAGCTGGAATGCTATTGGCTTCCGATGCTATTGGCCTCTGATGCCAGTACCTAGGGAAGAGAGCGCCCAGGTTTATGCTGTTCCGCACCCCGCTTGCAAACACCTTAAACTACAGAAAGACTTGTGCAAACAGGCTGTAATCGAGCGAGGGTCCTGGCTGTCACTATCCTGCAGTCACGCTGCCAATCAGAAGCCGGGGCAAGGGAAGAGCTGAGCACATTGCCGTGCATGGAAGATGGAGTCCCGGCTGTGGGCTAACTTGAACCTGTGGTCACAGAGACCTGTGGCTGTGCCAAGATGGAGGACGGAGGATGGATTCCAGGCAGGGCTGGAGCCTGTAAACTGATCTTACTCAGCCCCTTGGGAGAGGGAGCTGTTCTCCTCCCCCTTAGAAGGTGGCTATACGGTTGACCGACTGCAGTTTTATTGTCAGACTATTTTAATATTCCCCGACTACCTTAGACAGACAAGTAACCAGAGAAATTATGCTAAGCAGGTACTAGCTCAAGCGAGTTCACATTCCAACGTCTTGGGTAGAACTCTTGGCAGGAGGCAAGGCCCAAGGACCCTGAGCTTTCAGGTCAGGTCAGAGAACTAATGTGCATATGTGAATCATTGTTTTATCTTTATTGATACATAATGTTTAGACACACTTATTGAGAAGAGTGTGGTTTGTTTGCTTGCCAGTTAAATAAAAACTCAAGTGCCTACATGCAAATCACAGAAAGTAAAAAGTCAATGAATTTCAATAGCAACAAATACATAATACAAAATTGAGGTAATTAATTATTTCCTTTCTTAAAGCAAGACATGATCTTCATGAGGGTGTGTGTGTGTGTGTGTGTGTGTGTTCTTCTGGCTTACTGTACTAATTTAAAATATATTCATGAAGCCATACTAAATGACTTACAGACATGATACCCTGCAGATAAGATGCTCCACGGCATCTTAAGAATGCATCAAAGACCCCTTTGTACTGGATCCATAGCTCCTAGAGCAACAGTTCTCAACCTGTGGGCTTCTTCTTGTTTGGGATCAAATGACCCCTTCACATGGGTGGCCTAAAACCATTTTTAAAAAAAGGTATTTACATTACAATTCATATCAGTAGTAAAATTACTGTTATGAATTAAATTGGAAGAACTAAAACTTAAAAGTTATGACCTGTAATAACAATGAAAAGTTATGAAATAACAACAAAAATAATTGGTGGTCACCACAGCATGAGGAACTGTATTTAAAAAGTCACAGCATTAGGAAGGTTGAGAACCGCTGTCTTAGACAACAGCTTATGTGGCTATCGTCTGGCTTAAATGCTCACTACTAAGTCAGTACAGGCACTGTGGAAAACTATGGATGTTCCTCAAAAGTTAAGATATAAAAAAAATCAGCATTCAAGATCTTGAACAGACTTCTTCACTTGGTCCTTCATTTCAGCCAAGATAGATAAAACCTAAGGGTTCATTAACTGAGGACCACACGGAAAAAAAGTATATATATATATATATATATATATACCTGTTTCTATATGAGGCAATACCCTTCAGTTGTAAAAATGATGAAATGCTGTCATTTGCGGTGACCCAGATGAAACAGAAGGTCGTTAAGTGAAATATTCCAGGCACAGGAAGAAAGGCGCTACATCATATCACTTGCTTGCAGGATTCCCCAAAAAGTTGATTTCAAAAACAAATAAAGGAGAATGGTAGTTATGGGGGCTGGAAAACGCAACAGGGAAGGCTACAAACAGCAGGAAAATTTCAAGTAGTCTGCTGTACAGCTAAGTGACTATAGCTACAATAACATGTGTTCCAAAATAGCTAGTAAGGCTGTTGAGGTTCTCATCACAGAAAAATGGCAAATGTTGAATAATTGTGCTACTGACTTAGATCTGGTCATTATAAACTCTACACATGATGCTTTGGTCATTGATTTATTTTCATTCAAATATTTTAGTTGTGTGTGTGTTATGTGTGTGTGATGGTTTTCAGGAGTCAATTCTGCCTTTCAACCATGGACAGAATTTAGGCAGCCATCTTTGCCCTGCACCTCCTCTTACCTCCTGAGTCATCCTGGTGGTCCTGTGACACTTCTTAAATAATCATTCCTTTCCTGTGTGAATGAAGACACAGTCTGTCATGTTGGACATACTATGTAGTATAACTAAGTTCTGTTAATACTGTTTTGGGGGTACTGGGAATTAAACCCAGAACTTTACTCCTGAAAGCAAGTGCTTACTGCTGAACCATGCCAACATAAGCCTAGATTATAAATTAAATCTATTTGACTTTTTTCTGGCAATTAAGTGGTTTTTTTCCAACCTTTTTAAAGTTCGAATCTTCTTGGTGGACTTAAATATTGGCGATCAAATGTATACGATGAATGCACCCTTTCTTTTCTTTCATTAATCAGTTCCTTAGAAACGTGTGTAAATTTGCCTGCTCTGAAGCTTTGGTTTCCAGAAAGGAAAGGTAATATCAACAGTGCTACCAAAAGTTATTGACAGAAAACCTCTCTTGTTCTTATGTCTAGCCCTACACCTTGAACTGTTCGAGGGATAAATATTGATTTATCCAAGTCCTGAAGAAATGTTGGGCTCTTTTCCCCACCCCCAAACTACTTGGACTAATCACGTGTTTATAGCTTGTTTTGCATTTATTGGTTTGCAAAAGAAAGAGCTGTCAGGACTGGACTTGGTGACTCCTACCTTTAAGGAGATCTTCGTGAGTTTTAGTTTCAGGCCAGCCAGGGCTGCAGAGTGAGACCATGCCGAAAAGGAGGGGAAAGTCTGACATATACATGATAATTAATACCAACCCATTTTGAAAACAGTTCTCAGGGGAGCTAGAGGAATCACTCAAGGGGTAAGAGCACTGGCTGCTCTTTCAGAGGATGGAGTTTCAATTTCCAGCACCTGCATGGATGCTCACAACCTTTGGTAACTCCAGGCCCAGGTGATCTAATGTTCTCTTCTGGCTTTCTTGCACATGGTACACAGTCATACATCTAGTCAAAACACCCACACACATGAAAGGCAGTTTGCAATAATGTTTTTGTCTTTTACATTTCCGATTAAAAGATCATGAAAGACTAGCAATCAATAACAACAGCGGTAAAAATTAACACATCCAAGAATTCCTTACATTAGTATCCTTATCTCGTGAATTAATGTTAGAAAACATGTCTAATGAAACCTCAATACATGACCAACCCCAGTTCTCTGAAAAGCATCCTTGCATGGTGGAGACGACTGAAGGTACCTCTACCTGGGCAGGTAGCTTTTATGGCCTTAAGTGATTTGTAGCCATTAGGCTAAAAATAAAAGACTTTAGAAATGTCTTAGTTCATCAGAAAGGCTTATATATGTTAAAGTCAAAGAACTATGATAGTAAAAAGAGATATTAAACTAAAAATTTATTTTGCATAGTTACCATGCAACAGAAAGTGTGATGAGGAGAAAGAGAGTGATGGAAGAGTAGGGAGTGATTCCAAACAGATCATCATCCAAATGGAATCAGTTACTCAGATATCAGTTCATGGCTGGATTATCTTATTTCTCATTTAGTAATGTTTGGCCATAGAATTTAAAGTAAAAATTTAACAAACTTAAAACAGAATTGTTTTTTTTTAAAAAAAAAAAGCCTTCAGGAATATGTGTAAAGAAAGGTTTAGGGTAGAGTGCATGCCTGTTTTCTACAAAACCCTATGTTAGATCCAAAGCACCACATAAGCTGCTCATAGGGACCCGTAGCTGTACAATCAGTACTTAGGAGGTGGAAACAAGAATATCAGATGGTCAAGGTCATCCTTGGATACACAATGAGTTGAGTGCCAACCTGGGATTCATGAGACTGTCTGAAAATAAAAAAGTGACATGTAAGAGGGGCAGAAAGACAAAACAAAGGAAAAGTAGAAGCACACGAAACACAGGGTTGTTTGTGTGTGTGTGTGTGTGTGTGTGTGTGTGTGTGTGTGTGTGTACTATTCGAGCTTGCTTTTTTTATCTTTTTCTTATTTTCTTTTTCTTTTCAATATCTGTTGTTTTCTTATGAGAGACAGCAAGCAGGGATGTGGGTTTGGGTGGATGGGAAGTGGGGGGGAAGATCTGAGAAGAGTTAGGAGTGGGGCAACCATAACCAGAATATATTGTATGAAAAAAAAATCCACTTCTGTTTTAAAAAGGAAAAGACAGAGAGAAAGGATGCATTAAAATGATAAACTTGTGACCACACTGTCCTGTTTCGAAATGAACTTGCTTCACTCCATTTATAACATTCCAATTGAAATGCAAAGCTGGATTTTGAAACGTAACAGAATGTAATTCTTTGTCATAGAGAGGACCTGTGTGACTGGGGATCCTCACTCATTTGCCAGCGCAGTTAGCTGCTCTTTCCTGCTCTTAGTTCACTGTACTCGTCTTATTTGACTTGTTCTGTGTAGCACTGAACGGGAAGGGATGGCCCATTGTGCAGAGCAACACACCACGCCCCCTTGGTGAGTCACATGTCAATCTTCCCTTGTGCCCTGAAATCTGAAACGCTCATGCTCTGCTGATCCGAGGGACTAACCTGATTCCAAAAATGCATGCCTAATTCAGGAAAAAGCTGACTTCAGTTACTCAGCGTCCTGCCCAGGGACTTCTCACAATTTATTTCTCCAGCTAACTGAATACCCTAGGGCAGTGGTTCTTCAGCTTGAGTGAACACTGGAATCTCCAGGGCTAGTAGCTATAAATACAGACCGGGAAGCTCTGCCCAGAGAGACCCGGATTCGGGAAATTGGATCTGAATGCCAGGAATGCATATTTTTTCTGTGTTTAACATAAACTCTTTTCTGAGACACGGGATCATGCTTTCCAAGACTGGTCCAGAAAGCAAACAAGCATCAGAAGAGTAGCTAGCGCATTGTCTTCCAGAGCTGTACACTGCAGAGCCCACACAGAGTCTAGGAAAGAGGAATGCATGTACTGCATCATTATTTGTTCCAACTTTTTCCTAATTGGTGGCTTTAGCAGGTCACAAATCCAATATCTCTACCTAGTTCAGAGTAG